CCCCAACAATAAAATTCATGTATCTTTAAGTTTAAATTATATGAGAAGAACCATTAATAGCAATTCCATAATCAATAAATCAATTATTGGTTCAATTCTAAATCGTTTACGACAATGATCTATCCCACCCACGAGTTATATAACAAAATAAGATAAACAATAAGTGCTCAAAAAAATCCAATTTATCTTTATATGGAGAACTAGTCTAATCTCAACTTTATTATTTGCATCTTGTACTTTCATAGTTTCATTGTATTTTATCCTAGCTAAATCTTCATTAATTTTGAAAAGTTTAGATATCTTGAAAAATATTTTTTGATATAAAATAAAATCATTTGAAATATTAATTTTAGCTATTAAAGTAAGACCTAAAATAGCGTCCGCAGAGACGCCCGGGCAGTCGACCAAAACGCACAGAGGGGTGAAGAAGGCGGGATTAGCCTTCGAATGATATTTGAAATGTTGCAGACTCAGCAAGCTGCGATAACGCAGCTTCAAAATTATAATCGAGCACCAAGCAGAATTGAGCTCGATGCATCACAGGAAGTTATTCACAGAGTCAAACCTGTACCGGAGAAATCGAATGATGGATCGGGAACTGATCCCTACCATTATGAAGATGCTCGAGGAGCTCACTAAACTGATCGAATCAGGAGAAAAGAAAATTGAGGCTAATGATAAAAAGCTAGAAACATACAACTCACGGGTTGATCAAATACTGGGGCACCCCCAATTCTAAAGGATTTAGATTCGAAAAAGATCGTACATAAGCCTTTCCCACCAAGTGCGGCTCCGAAGCCCATTCCAAAGAAGCTCTGCAAGCCAGAAATTAATTCCCAAGTACAATGGAACCACTGATCCTAATGAGCATGTCACTTCTTATACATATGCAATAAAAGGAAATGACTTAGAGGATGATGAAATTGAATCTATTCTGTTGAAAAAGTTCGGAGAAACTTTATCCAATGGGGCGATGATATGGTACCACAATCTGCCACCCAATTCCATCGATTCCTTCGCCATGCTTGTTGATTCGTTCGTAAAGGCACACACCAGAGAAATAAAGGTTGCGACTATGAAGTCAGACCTCTTCAAAGTGAGACAAAAGGACACTGAAATGCTAAGAGAATTCATATCTCAGTTCCAGATAGAATGCACGGACCTACCTCCGGTCATCGATGAATGGGCTATCCAAGCCTCCACTCAAAGTTTGAACGAGCAAAGTTCGATAGCATCACGACAACTAAAGAAAAATTTGATTGAATATCCAGTTGTGACCTGGGCCGATATACATAATTGATACCAGTCAAAGATTACAGTCGAGGACGATCAGTTAGGGGCCCATTCCGATTCTGTTTACCCAAATAGATCCGAAGGCATGATTCAAAGAGATATCAACAGAGAGCCCCGATCAAACAGAGATCGATACCAACCATACAATGTAGATCGTAGAAATAAAGGATCAGGACGTAATCCCATTCGGAATGATCAAAGGAATGATCGAGGACAAAGTTCCTGAGGGCTCATGAGTAAGAGTGGCTTCGATAAACATGCTGAACTCAAAGAAGCGCCACGGTTATCATAATACAACTTCAGCATTGATGCATCGGGTATTGTATCAAACATTGCACGAATTAAGGATATTAGGTGGCCTAGACCCCTACAGAGCGATCCGGCTCAAAGGAACCCTAACCAAATATACAAATACCATGGAACCCATGGTGATAAAACCGAAGACTGCAGACAATTAAGAGAGTAGATAGCTTGTTTATTCAACAAGGGTCACCTTCGAGAATTCTTGAGTGACCGAGCTAAAAATCACTTCAGAGACAAGGATGCATATAGGAAAAACAAACAGGAAGAACCATAGCACGTGATTCATATGATCGTTAGTGGGGTCGATATTTCTCAAAGTCTGATATTTAAATGTACCAAAGTGACAATCATAAGGGAGAAACGTATCTAGGACTACTTACCAGAAGATACCTTATCTTTTAACGATGAGGACGTAGAAGGGATCGAACAGCCTCACAACGACGCACTGGTAATATCTATCCTTATGAATAAAATTCAAGTTAAACGTGTGTTGGTTGATCCAAGTAACTCGGCAAACATTATTCGATCAAGGGTCATAGAGCAACTCAGCCTCCAAAATCAAATCGTGCCTACAGCTCGAGTACTCAATGGTTTCAACATGGCAAGCAAAACCACCAAAGGGGAAATCATATTGCCAGCAAACATGGCTGGTACTATCCAGAAGACAAAGTTCCATGTAGTCGAAGGTGATATGAGATACAATGCGTTGCTCGGAAGACCTTCGATTTATAATATGAGGGCAGTACCTTCGACGCTCCATCAAGTCTTGAAATTCCCAACGTCAGAAGGAATCAAAACGGTGTACGGCGAACAACACGCCGCCAAAGAGATGTTTGTAATCGATGAAGTAGTGCCTGTATCGGTGCTTTCATCGGCAAAGGAATCGGAGCCAAAGGGAAAACAAGAAGTCAAATAGCAACCATAAGTACCGGCCTTGACCCCGTCGGAGGAGCAGGAAATCTTCGAGGATGAAGATTTTATGATACCTCGAACTTTCATGACCCTCGATGATTCTGATGCAATAAAATCATCGGTCGAGGAGTTGGAACAAATCATATTGATCGAGCATCTTCCCAATCGAAAGGTATACCTGGGCACGGGGTTAACTCCCGAGCTTAGGAAAAAACTCGTTCAATTCCTTTAAATAACATGGATTGTTTTTCTTAGTCCCAACTGGATATGACAGGAATCCCATCGGAGAACACAACATATCGGTTGAGCCTGGACCCGAAGTTCAGATCAGTAAAACAAAAGAGAAGGCCCCAGTCCGAGGTAAACATACATTCATCAAGGACGAGGTAACTAAGCTTCTCAAAATAGGGTCCATCCGAGAAGTAAAATATCCCGAATGGTTAGCAAACGTAGTTGTAGTCCCCAATAAGGGGAAAACCCTTAGAATGTGCATAGATTATAAAGATTTAAACAAAGCATGTCCCAAAGACTCTTTTCCTCTGACAAATATCGATCGCATGCTCGATGCCACGGCCGACCACGAGATCCTTAGTTTTTTCGATGCATATTCCGGGTACAATCAAATTCAAATGAACCCAGAGGATCAGGAAAAGACTTCCTTCATCACTAAGTATGGCACCTACTATTATAATGTAATGCCGTTTGGGCTAAAAAATGCCGATGCTACCTACCAACGCCTAGTGAATCGAATGTTTGAAGAACAAATAGGTAAATCAATGGAGGTATATATTGATGATATGCTAGTTAAGTCCCTGCGCGTAGAGGACCATTTGACACATTTGCAAGAAACTTTCAACATATTGAGAAAATACAACATAAATCTCAATCCTGAGAAATGTGCATTCGGGGTCGGTTAGGGCAAGTTCCTCGGCTTTATGGTGTTGAATCGGGGAATTGAGGTCAACCCAGATAAAATAAAGGCGATCGAAGACATCACAGTCGTGGATAGCATTAAGGTCGTACAAAGATTAACAGGGTGGATAGCCGCCTTAGGCCGGTTCATCTCGAGGTCTTCAGATCAAAGTCACAAGTTCTTCTCACTGCTCAAAAAGAAGAACAATTTCACTTAGACCCCGGAATGCCAACAGCCATTGGAAGAGTTAAAGCGGTATCTTTCGAGCCCACCATTGCTTCATACTCCGAAAGCGGACGAGCATCTCTACTTAGATTTGGCAGTCTCGGAAGTCACGGAAAGTGGTGTCCTAGTTCGAGAAGAGCAAGGTACCTAATTTCCTATTTAATATGTCAGTTGAACTTTAGGTGAAGCCGAGACCCCTTACCCACACTTAGAAAAATTAGCGCTTGCTCTAACAAGCACCTCTAGAAAATTAAAACCATATTTTCAGTGCCACCCAATTTGTGTGGTAACCACTTACCCTCTTCGTAATGTGCTGCACAAGCCCGAACTCTCGGGCCGATTGGCTAAATGGGCCATTGAAATCAGTGGGTATGATATCGAGTATCAAATCCGAACGGCCATCAAGTCTCAAATCTTGACAGACTTCATGGTCGGCTTCATGCCAGCCCTCGTACCCGAGGTCGAAAAGGAACTTTTGTTAAAAACGGGTACATCTTCGGGTGTAGACCCTCTTGACAGATGGTGCTTCGAATGTGAAGGGGTTCGGGCTAGGCATCATGTTGAAGTCGCCCACAAGCAATACAACTAGACAATCTATGAGACTAACAATGAGGCCGAATATGAGGCCATGATTGTAGGTCTCGAGCTAGCTAAAAATTTGGGAGTAGAGGTCATCGAGGCCAAATGTGATTTCCTACTTGTGGTTAACCAAGTCAACATGATCTTCGAGGTTCGAGAAGATCGAATGTAGAGGTACTTGGACAAGTT